ATCACAAGTACCAACTTTCCTCATTTTAAACGATAATGTTTTAAAAAAAAAATTTCGAGGGTGCTGCCCCCGAACCCCCGTGGGCCCCAGCCCCTTCAACTCCGGGACCTCCCTAGTTTGAAGGGCTGGCTCCGCCCCTAACCCCACCCGCCCACGCAAAACCACCACCACTACTAGCGGCCGACGCTACAGCACCACCTAGAAACTCAATCCTCCTTCCAGTCCTCCTTTGCTTCCGCCACCACCGACATCAACCGCCGTCAAGTGTCAATCCCCCAATTCCACCTCAAATATCTTAAATAATCAATTTAAAACTACTTCCTCATCATCTACAATTGTATGCTCCTATGGGTTCTCCTCCATCGAGGAGGCATCTGTTGAACGTCATCGCCGGAAGCGTCGTGTACGCATTAAGCCCCCAATCTATACCCTACGCTCCAATCCCACCCCACCAAAACCCAACGACCCCAATAAGCCTCGTCTCCTCGACTCTTCCTTTGCCTTTGTTGGTTCACGCCTCATACATTGCCCGTCAGTCTGTGTTCCAATCGAAAGTGGTGATGGCTACTGATTTTGGTTGGTGGGGTTAATGGGGCGGATGAAGATGATGATGAAAATGTTTGTGGTTGGTGGGGTTAATGGGGTGGAGGAAGATGATGATGATGCAGATTTTTTATTTTAAATTTTTGATTCAATTATCATAATTGTGTTTTTATGAAAAATATAATTTTACTCTTTTTAATTTGATCAAAATTAATCAAAGATCAACTAACGGCCAAACTAACAATCTCCTTCCATTTTGATTTCAATTGTGATATTTTGCAAAATTTGATGCTGTGTGTGACATAAATGAAAGGTTTGAAAAAAATCTACTAATAAATGAAATGTTTGATACTATGACTGCAATTTTTCCTATATAAATACTCCAGAAATGCAATGATCGTCAAGAAATTAAATAGGCCATCAATTCTTTACACGTTTTATAACAAAAATAACTCCTTTTGAAAAGCATCCAACAAGCATAGTATGTAACTTCGATACCATTTAGCATTATAAGATTCACCTAACCAAATTACTACTATTAAATCATATACTACCTTTTGATGCATGGGATTGAACATAATAAAAGACATTTCACATGCTTAGTTCTATTCAATTTAGCATACTATTAAAGTACGAGTATATTTTCGACGAATATATGAATGTGCCACAAATTTGTGTCAAATTACATGTAGGTCATACACATCAAGGTGTGATTCCATCCACTAATCCTCCTTGAACCATCTAGGTTATGAGGAATCCTAATTAAAAAGAGGTCCCATGGTAGATGGTCCATGTCCTTTCTTTTTGCAACATGATAGTGCGTTGCATTTCCTGGTTATAATATATATCATATTCAGATTAGGAGCCCAACTAAGGACTTGTCTTTTCTTGTAGCTAGCAATAATACACCCAACCACAACCACAAAAAATAAATAAATAATTATCGCATACTTTTCATGATCAAGCAATAGATAGTTTTAATGTCGGCAGTGACCATATGATAGCCATTTATTTAAGAAAATAATGGAAAAGGTAAGGAAATCAAAGTGTCAAATCCAACATGATTAAAGCAATTTTTACACGTTGAAATTCATTTTCAACCAACAAAACATTGCCTTCACGAATCAAAATTCCAGTAAAGCACTCAGTTAAGACATCCAAATCTTCCAACAAGAAGGTGGCTTTCAAGACAGTACACTTGAAGTCACTCGCACGCATGCTCCTACCACAGATTTCCCTTTTTTCCATATCGACTCTTTTATAGTCCGATCATCACTCAAACCGAGATGAAATCTTATAAAAGAGACAGGATATGAAACAAACTTCTTGAGAATTCTTGAATGCACAGATTGGTGGATTATGTCCAAGAACTTAGTGATGGGTTTGATGCAACGTTTGGAAAGATTTAGAATTCAATTCGAAGTATATAATGAGTTTGCAAACAAAAAAAGGCAATCACCATCTTTCCTTGAGGTGGTTCTGAAGATTTAGATCCCTTGAAACAAGTCACATGGCCATGGATTCTGTGCCGGGTTCTGTAGGAACGTGTGCAAGCTTTGCTCTGAGACTTGGTCAGATCATCCTCTCTTCAGCTTCTCTTTTCTTCATGTCATTAGGAGTTGGGTTCTACAGCTATACAGCCTTTTGGTAAATTTTAGTACCGATACAATTCTTTCTGCTTATGCATCTTTGCATGTGGATTTACATCCCCATCTGTGCCAGCAGTTACCTTCTGTTCTTTAACCGTATGATCACCAATATATCTGAAAGATAAACATTAGAAATCCATCAGATTTATTCGTCATTCGCCATTTCAAAACTAAAGGGGTAAATTTCAGGACATGATCCTTTGCAATAGGTTAGCTTGCAATTCCTGATATTGAATGGTTAAAGAGCGTTGAGCACAAGATAAGTACCAATTGAGCAACAAATATGCCAAACCTACTGTCTAAAACACCAACACCTATAGAGTATCTGGTCCCAGAAAATTATAAGGAATCACTACAGCTTGTTTTATATATTTAACGTAATACTCATGCACAAACAAAATAAGGCTAATATTATGGCAGAATAAGGCTATTATAATGGCAGCAACTGAATGAAAAGCTCTTTCACTTGTCAAAGTTTATACTAGTAACAGCATGATACAGTTAAGTTATTTTTACCTTTTATGGTTTTCGGTAGAAAGGCCAGCCAACTTATTATTTGCTGACTCAGACATTATGTCTTCATTAGGAAAATGCAATAAGTTTCTTCTGTTTCCATAAAATCACAGCTTCTTGGTAACAGTCATGGGCTTGATCATACCTTGGAGTTTCACTTTGGCGCTCCTCGACGCATACACCATCCTGGTTAAATGCTCAATTCATCAGTCAGGAATATTGCTCGTCATTGTTGTAGGAGACTTGGTAATTCCTGTTCTCTGATCCATGTATAAAGATACTAGTTTTAAAGCATAACAAAGTTTGTTTCAATAAATAGGTTTTGTCCATTCTCACATTAGCTGCAGCCAGCTCGAGCGCAAGCATTGTTGATCTTCTGCTCAGAGCTGATGAAACGTTTTGTCCTCAAAGGTTATGCAGTAGATATCAGATATCTGCCACAATGGCATTCTTGTCATGGCTTCTCTCAGTGGCTTCATCTCTTTTCAATCTTTGGCTACTTCCTGCTCTCTGACATCAATTCTCTATCATCTAAAAACATGGGTTTCTAGAATCAGTACTCAGTTGGATGTTGTACATATGTGGTCGAGGTAATTTTATAGAAAAATATTCCTATACAGTAATATATGAAAATTTGAATAAACATTTTTTTTTGTGTCAAAGAAATCCTGGTGCATGTTTCCACGTCCCTTCCCCCACAAGTCAACAAGAGGCATGAAGACAAACATGCTTGAATTGCAATGGCAGTCAACCAAAAAATCACAAGTCTCGCTGGAATTGCAATTGAATAATGAAAATATTCTGAAGAAGACCCCACGGCATGGCCCACATCCTGGAAAAAAAGTAGTAATATGTAATTTCTTTTAATTCTAGAAGTTAGAACAGCCGCATAAGACAACACGCATGGAAAATACAATTACTTGCCCCTCCAAAAGCTACACATTCAGTAAAACAAGCTCAATGAAAACATATCAAAACATAGAGGGAAGCCCCTTTATTCTTTTGAAAAGTAACATGGAATTCCAGCTATGAGAAATTCCGTTGTAAGACACTACATTATATGCCAATGTTGAGAAATAGTAATCTTTTGCATCAGTTGTACTTACTTCACTCTTGTAAGCCCTATTGTTATGTTGTACATGAATAAGTGAGAAACGTCCAAGTTGCAGACTTGCAATAAGAGCTGCCTCTGATGAACATAATATAAATCACCAACTCGATTCCTACTAAGTTCCATCAATTAGACCAATGAAAAGTGTTTCCATGTTAATATTTCCGGGAACTGAACACCCTTATTTGTTTCACTAAAAAGGAAATTATGAACAATACTAAGGGCATCAAAATTAGAGATCACAGTGTACATTCTACAATATAAAAATGTGTCTAGGAGTCTATGTTGATTTCAATCATCTTCATTTTATTAAAAGTGGAGTTCCCAAATAAATTATTGTAATCGATACAACTATAAAATACATAAATGCAAACATAGACACATTATTACTAAAGATGCCCAAAGACGAAGAGTTTAGCTTCCGAGGAAACCTTTGGTAACCAACAAGCTCCACTAGGACCACCACCAATCTAGGCTTTTCCACATATTTGAGAAAGCCAAACCTACAGTTGCGATGAAAATAGCAAGCAGAACAGAAGATGTTGGATCCAATATATGTCGAAGAATTTAGAATCTTTAATATAAAAATGGCCTAGGTCCTCCAACCAGAAGTCCATATGTCTGTACACAATTAGTTCCCACTAGAAATGCCATTTAGCAGAAAACAGCTAAGATAGGAAGCAGGATGCACTGTCATCAAGAGAAGTTTTACAGGTTGGTGATACAATTCGAAATGAACAACAGAAAACTTGCAAATGTTTGAAGATTTAGCATATTGAGACACTCAAGACACATGAAAAATTTAATATATGCTATACAATCTTCCCAATAAAATAAAAACTTACAAAAGTAGAAAAATATATTTCATTAATTTCAGGCTCAGCAGACTTTTCCAGCAGTATCTCTCGTTAGTTATTAATAGCAAAAAACACCTGAACAGAACCCAAACATCCGGGTGGAGAAGCATTAGTGCAGGGGCAACTATCAAATTCATAAACCAAGAAAATATTTTGACCACATAGCTCCCAGACATTATACTGTTGTATTAGATCACTAAGAAATCTCTCCTCAAAATAAATATCAGCAGCAGCCATAGAGTTCAATTGATTATGTGCAAGCATACACTTTAGGCTTCAAAAATACTTGATTGACCAAATACACTACCAATAATGGTAGATCCAGCAAAAAATTAATATTATTAAATAATAAAAATAGAAGCAAAAGTAATATGTAGCTCAATGAAGAGCTTAGTTGCATGCCCTCAGGGTTGGAATTGGATTATATTATTTAATGAACTCAACATACACCTTAAACTATATACACTATAAGTGAATCAGTACAAATATTGAAACGTGACATGTTAGGGTCTCCGAGTATACGATAACCCGAGTCTTTCCTTGGATTAGGCATTAGTGCTTTTTGTTCATTCATCTCATTATCTTAAAGTGGCACCAAAGTTGACTTGGTTTCAAGATGTAGAATATACATTAAATCAAAATTTTGTCGGATATTCATCCATGCGCCTAGCATTTGCAAAATATGATAGATAAAAGCCAATAAACATTTTGAAAATGTCAAGAATCATACTGTCAGATTACATGTGTTAATGAAAATTCAATTCATAAAGGTCCACGGAAAAATATCTTGTTAGCAGGTATTCAAGGAATTATGCTCTCATCATAAAATATAAAACACAAAATATATAAGACCAAGCTCCTAGAAGATCGCCAGCAACTTACTTTACTTCAACTACAAGCTTGCACTTTCCAGCTAAATGACTCTGCTCAAAAGTGCTGCAAATGGTGTAACCTTGAAGAATGATATCATCTCTATTTCTCCTCCCAGGAAACTTACTTGTTGGGCATTTCTTTCCTCAATTTACCAGCCATTGTTTCATTCCCTTGTTTCAAATACCCATCAATAAAAGCACCATACGTCTCTGAATCTGGTTCATATCCTTTCCCTACCATCTCTGCCTGAAGCCTTAAAGCCTCTTCCATCTTCCCCTGGTGACAAAAACATTTTATCAAAACTTGGAAAGTCTTCTTCTTCGGAATAACATCATGTTTCCTTGCTAGAACCATCAAAACATCCAAAGCAGTAGAACTGTCGCCCTTATCGCAGAGCACTCTAGTAACTGCATCAACCGTCAAACTATCTGGATTAAAACCTTCCCTACACATGTCCTTATACAATAACATTGCAGAATCAGCATCCCCAATCTTACAATACCCATTTATGAGATTCTCAAAAGTAATACAAGTACTCTCCACACCACTCATTACCATGTCTCTATAAATCTCTTCGGCCCTCTCAAGCTCTCCAATCCCACAAAACCCATCAATAAGTGTATTGTAAGCCATTGCATCACGCTTCACACATTTATTCTGCATTTCCTCCCATACCCTCATGGCATCCTCCATTCTTGCATTGCCACAATACACCGCCATTAGAACACTATAACTATATGAATTCGGTGTGCAAACCACTCTTCCCATTTCTTTCCATACCTCCTCCACATTCGCCACCAATCTTTCTCTGTAAAATGCAACCATCAATACATTAAACGTATTCACATTTGGAAAAAAGCCCTTTACTCCTCTCCTATGGTAAACACCATTTTTACCATCAAAACAAAAAATTTCCCTATACAGATCATATGCAGCAAAACAACCTCGACTCTTGGACACCAAATCAATCAAAGAATTACAAGTACTAGTTCTTACAAACACATTCTTGGAGTTCAACATTCTAAATGTTTCAAGAGCTTGGTCAATCTTTTTCGACTCTAAACAAGCTTTGACTAACAAATCAAACACAAATGGTGCAGAACCACAGGTAGTATATGTTTTTATCAGGATTTCCAAAATGGGAGCCGGGCTTGAAGAACTGGGCTGGTGAGCTTCTGGGAATTTTCTAAAGGCTAACCGAATTAAGCTTTCGGCCTCAGTCTTAAGCCTGGAATGACAAAGAATGTGAATTATGGCAGCATAGGATAGGAGAGAATGGGAGCAGAGAGTATTACTAAGAGTAAAATGGAAGAAACGGAGGGCAAGGCGAGGATTGTTGCGGATTTCAAGGGCAATCCGGGAAAACTGAGACGGGTTGAGGAGGTTACCGGTTGTACTGAGGAGGGAGCGGAGGTGGGACCACCGCGACTTTGAGCGGTGGTGTTTCAGGATTGAGACGGCGGCTGAGACTAATGCATCGTCCAAAATTTGTGGTGGCGATGAAGAATAGGGTTGAAATTTAGAGAAAAGAGAAGAAAAGAGATGGCGATTTTTCACACATACAATAGATTGAGAAAATGCCATTGACAAGAAAATCGTTGAACTTTAGGCCAAGTGAAGCAACTGCATCTTTGTCAATAATTTCATCAAGCACATTGCGAGGATGTATGGATAAATGACCCAAATAAAGAGCCATAGTTCAAAAATAACCTTTCACTTTTCCAAAAAATTGAAACTACCTAAAATACCCCTAAATATAATATTTATTAAACTATGAAAAGAATACAACCAAGTCCAAATGAATTAAATTGCCATAAAATAACCTACAAAAAATCAAGATCTAAAAGAGGCCCATACAAGATTAAGAAAATTGCAAAAGATAAAAAAGAAATTGAAT